TATATGTAATATATTTATATATATAAATAAATATATTTATATAGATAAATAAATAATATATATATATATTTATATATATTTTTACATTTAATTTTTATTTTAATTACCATTATTCCATATATGAACTCCTTATCCATCTGCCTTTCCATATTTCCATTCCCCAACATAAGAATCCTTATTATTTCCTCTCCATATTCCATTTCCATGTTTCATTCCATTTACCCATTAGCCATCATAAGTTTCTTTATTGTAACTTGTATATCTTCCTATTCCTTCTGGTTTTCCGTTAATATACTATCCCTCATAATAACTTCCGTTTTAAAATTTTTCATAACCTCTTTTTTTATTTAATTTTTTATTTTAATATAAATAATAACCTTCCATATTTTAAATCATTTTCCCAATTTCCTTCATATAATCGACCATTTTTATGAATCATTATTCCTTTTTTGTATTTTAACTTATTTATGTAAAATAAATATTTTTACCTTTCCCATGTCTATTAGAATTAATAAATTGACCAAAATAAATGCTTTATTTATATCTTTTTAGTTTAAGAAAAGGTTATTTAAGTAATTCTTTAATATTTAAAAATTCTTAATTAAATGTAACATAATTAATTTTAAAATATTCTAATAAATCTTGTGCATCCATATCAATTAATTCTGAGTTGTTTTTATTAATATCACAATTTTTATGCTAATTATTTACTTATTAATTCTATTTTAAATAAAAAAAATAAAATAAGAAATATTTCCTTGTTAATAATATAAAGTTTTTATCAGAATATACATACCTGAACTGAATTAGTACTAGAATTTTCGCATATTTTATTAAATTAATTAGGATAAATATTATAAAGTTTATTATTTAGTTCTTTATTAATAAAATTTTATTCACATTCTTATATTCTAATATTTTTTATAATAAATATGTGATTTCTATTGTTATTTACATATTAAATTTTACTTTTAATCTTATTCATTAAAAACTAAAAAGATAAAAAAATATTTAATAGATTTTAATTTTTATATATACTTAAAGAATTTTATTATTAATTTAAAAAGTTTAAGTATGTATTGTTTAAATTATTGTTTGTATTTAATGAAATATTCATTTTATTTTTTTTAAATACGTTTAAAAAAAAAAAAAAATATTTAAAAATTTGAATAATTATTTATATATACTTAAATAATTTTATTATTAATTAAAATGTTTTAATATGTATTGTTTAAATTATTGTTTGTATTTAATGAAATATTCATTTTATTTTTTTTAAATTACATAATAAAAAAATATAAAATATATGACTATTTATTAATTAAATAAATATAAAAATAATATTTATATTATTATTAAATATAATTTTTTTCAAAATTAAAATGTTTTAATATTATTTTTCATATAAATATTTTATAAATATAAATCAATAATTTATAAAATAAAATAAAAATTATTTTAAATTACATAAATAAAAAAATATTTAAAATATATTACTATTTATTAATAAATAAATATAAAAATAAAATTAAAAATTATTATTAAAAATAATAACTATAAAATAATATAATTACAAATGAATAAATAAAAAAATCAATAAAGATTTTATTTATATATATATATTCATTAATAAATTAAGAAAAAATAAAATAAAAAATTCTTTAAAAAAAATAAATAAATGACAGACTCATCTACTCCTTTTGAACTTTTAAAAGAAGAAATGGAATAAGACGAAATATATATTCGTGTTAATGCAATACATAGAATAAAGATAGTAGCAACATTAATGGGACATGATTTTGTAAAATCTACATTACTTCCATTTATAGAAAGTAAAAATAAGATAACTTATAAACCTAATATATATAAATAAAAAATAAAATAATAGATTTAATAAAAAAAGAGGAAGATGAAGTACTATTTGCAATAGCCGAATAAATAGAATATTTATCGTATAAAAAATTAATATATATATATATATATATATATATATATATATATAAATATATATATATATTTATAGTTATTTTTAAATATATATTTTTATTTTTTTAATTTATTCATTATAATTATTTTATTATTATTATTTTAAATATAGGTAATTTTTATAAGGAAACTAAACTATTTTATTGCCATTTTTAGAATAATTAGCAAGTTAAGAAGAAACAGTTGTACGTGATATGGTAATTTTTCATATATTTAAATATCGAATAAATAAATGTAATTTTAAAAATAGGCTGTAAAATCATTAATTAATATATCTTAATAATTAGGAGAATACGAGATTTAGAATTTCTATGTTCCTTTAATACTTAGATTGGCAAGTAATGATTCCAATTTTACATGTAGAGTTTCTGCTGTGAATTTGATGTGTAGTATATATACTCGTTCAGGTTAACATAAAGAGAAAATAAGAAAGTAAATAATATATAATATTAAATTTATATATATATATATATAAATTTAACAAAAATTAAGTAAATTTATTGAATTATGTGGCGAAGAAACACCTATGGTCCGTCGTGCAATTGCTTAAAAAATAGGAGTAAAAATATATAATAATTAATACACAAATAACTTTTAAAATAAAAGGAACTAGCTACAGTTATAGAAAAAGAATATGTATTAAGTGCTTTAATATAAAGTGTGAAATAATTAATATCTGATGAATAAGATTTAGTAAGAGTACTAGTATTAAACTCATTAAAATAAATAGCTAAAATATTAAAGAAAGAAGAAAATAAATAACATATATTACCAATTATAATAGCAGCTACAGAAGACAAATCATGGCGAGTTCGTTTAGCTTTATCTAAATTATTTTCTGAAGTATATATTATTTATAATATATATATCTTTTTGTTTTAAAATAAAATAAAATACCCTTAGATAGCAGAAGCATTCGGAGAAGAAGGAGATAATGTATCATTAATATAAATATTTACAAATTTATTAAGAGATGCTGAAAATGATGTCCGAATAGCCTCTATTTAGTCCTTAACGAAATTCGTCAAAATACTTTCACCTGAAAAACTTGGAATAATAGTTCCTCATTTATAATATTTGGCAAAAGATTTCGTTCCTTAAGTAAGATCTGGAGTAACTGAAGTTGTTTCTTTAATTGTTCAAATTTTACCCAAAGAAGTTATTTCTTCTAAACTCCTTTCCTATATTATTGATCTTTTCGATGATGAAAGTAAAGAAGTTAGATAAGGAGCAAATAAAGCGGCTTCTAAATTCGCAGAATGCCTTGGACCCGATTCTTTGAAAACTCTACTTCCATTATTTAAAAAAAGTATTGAAGATCCAAAATGGAGAGTTAGAGTAGAAGCATATGAAGCTTTATCGAATATAGCAAAAGCATATCATGTATATTTAATTTTTTTTTTTATATATATATATATATATTCATATTTTTTTATTTTATTAGAATAATGAGGTATTTATGAATAATTTAGAACCTCTATTTATGAGTTTTTTAAAAGACAAGATTTCTATAGTAAGAGAAAGTGCTGCAAATAAATTGCCTTAAATAATTATTATATATAAAGAATGGGCTATAGGGAAATTATATAAATAATTAATAGATTGTTTAAATAAGGATAATAGCTATTTATTAAGATAAACTGGACTTTATTGTTTAAAAATTTTGACTTTGAATGTTTCTAGTGATTTTGTTAGTGAGAAAATTTTGCCTTTTTTTTATAAAAATCTAAATGATACAGTACCAAATATTAGGTTTATTTAGGTTAAAATTCTAAAGGAAATTTTAGGGAAAATTGATAATTAAAATATTTAGAACGAAATTAAATAGTAATTTTATATTTTTAGAAATTTATTTATTATTTTTCTGTTTTATTTTATTTTTTTTAGATAAGTTTCAAATTTAGTTAATGATAGTGATAGAGATGTTAAATATTTCGCTTAAGAACTCTTAAAGTAATTATGATTTTTTTAAAAAAAATTAAAAACAAAAAACTATAAAAAACTATTATTTTTATAATAATTTTGTTTTGTTTTGTTTTTTTTTTCATATATTCATTTAAATTTAATTTTTTTTTTTTTTTTTTTTTACATTTTAAATTTTCTATTGAAAAATCCATTTAAAATATAAAAAGTATAAAAAATAAAAAAATTTATATTACAAAATAATTAATTAAAAGAATATATATATATATATATATATATATATATATATTTTAAAAAAAAAATAGTTTTATTTTTAAATATTATTAAAATCTTTTATTATTATTATTATTATTAAATTAAATAATATTTTCCTATTTTATTCTGATTAAATAAATGAAATATAATTAGAATTTAAGTTTAGTTTAGCAAATTTTTTTAGTTGTCATTAAATTAAAATTAATTTTCCATTTTACTATTATCTTATATATTATGATTTTAATTATCACATTTATTATTTATTCTACTATAAAATTTTAATATTTTCGGATGTTTTCTAACTAATCTCATTTCTGAATTTATAAATTCAATTAAATATTCTAATAAAGGTTATAAATGTTATTAATATTTTTGTTTTTATTTTAGTGAGAATAAAATTAAAACATATATCTGCACTATCAAGTTCTTCATATTTATTTTATTTTATTTTTATAAATTATATCTAATTAATACATATTTTAATATAATTTATTTTTTATAAACTTGTCTTTTTTTATATTTAATTTTTATAAATAATATATTTATTAAAATAAATTTTCATAAAATTATTAAAATTACACAAAAATAAAAATAAAATACTTATATATACAGAATATTAACAAGGTTAAACAATTTAAAAAATCATTTTATAATAATTCATATTCAATATAATTTTTTCTTTTAATAATTTTATTTTCATTAAGAAAATTATCTTATATCGTTTCAGTATTTGTATTTGCTTTAATTAAATTTTTTGGATTAGAATATCCAAAAAAAAAATACCACCTAAACTTATATTTTAAAGGTAAATTTTATATCTATATTTATTACTTTAGATAATATTAATTTATATAAAAATCAAAACTAATATTAAAAAATTAATTACAAAATATAATTTTTTAATTAATAAGTAATTTATTTAATATCAATAAATTATATATATTCTATAATATATTTAAAAGAAATTATTTAAATTAAACATATATTTTTAATATATATTAAATAATATATTTAAAACTTATAAATTATATATATACTATTAATATTATTTTCAAAAGTATATAAAATATTAAAATTATATTAGATAATTTAGATGAAACTTAAGAATAACAAAAAAATTAATCTTGTTAAAACAAAATTAGTTATTTTTATTTAAAAAAATTTATTATATATATTTTATTATTTACTTTTGATTTTATAATTTTAATAAAATAATTTTTTTATTTATTTTAATAATATTATTTATTGTTATAAAATGATTTTTAATTTAAAAAAAATAATTATTTAATTTTTTTTTATAAATTAAATATTTGATAAACAAAAAAATTAATATTTTTTTTAAATGTAAAACGAATAATTATTCCATTCAAATTTTTAACAAATAGAAACAACAAATAAATTACTATCTGATATAGAAGATAAGTTAAATAACTTAATAGTAGATAAAAAAATTGGATTATAAAATTAGCTTATCAACAGAAATAAGAATTATTAATTTCAAGATAAATTTCAAAATTAGGACATAATATAATCTTCCAAAATTCAAAATTAATATAAATTAGACTCATTATTTGAATAGAAATATTTGTCTTAAGTAAATCATTAAAAGAATTATAGTTAAGATGAAATAAGAAATTCATTTGAATTATAAAAAAGCAACAATTTTTTAAAATCAAATATTTAATAAAAAAATTATAAAAATATGAACTAGTATTAAAAAGGTTCAAGTTTTGAAAATTAAAATATTTTAAAAGAAAATTATTTGAGAAGTAATTCGAATTTAGATTTTTTTTAAAATAATATTGACAATAATAATCTTATTTAAAGAAATAATTACTTATAGTTAGATTTAAATAATTAATAAAGTTATTCAAATTTTGATTTTTCATTACAATTTAAAGAAAAAATGGAAATTTTGGAAATAGAAAATAGAAAATTAGTGAATTAAAACTAGTTTTTAATTTAAGAAATAAATAAAATTAAAGATAATTAATTTTTAAAATAAACAGAAAAAAAAATAATATAATTAGAATAAGAAAAATAGCAAATATTATGTTAAAAAATTTATTAAGAAAGAGAAAAAAATCTTATTATTGAAAATTTATAAATGCAAGTTTTAGCATTAAAAGAAAAAATAATAAACTAATAATTGAATTTGAAAATATTTAAAATTATGAAAAATAAAGAATTTAAATTGAATAAATAAAAAGAAAATATAGTATTCCGAATTAAGTAAATAATAATTATTATTAATAAAATGCATATAAAGGAGAATATAATAGTTAAGGAGTTTTATAAAATGATTAGATTAATTAAAAAGAAGAAATATAGATTTTAAAAAATTAATTATTAGATCAAAAGTATGAAACAAACAAAATTATAGAACTTAAAGAAAAATAAGACAATGATTTGATTATTGAAAATTATAATAAATTTAAAAAATAAACTTTTTAATAATTAGAAAATTAAAATAATAATATTGTTAAAAAAGATGTATAAAAAAAAAGTAAAAAGTAAGAAACTTAAAGAAAAAGCTCTAAGAGTTAACATAAAAAATAAAATTCTAAAAAATGAAATATAATTTTATTTAAATAAAAAAATTGTTTTTAATTAAAATTTATATATGAATTTATTATTATAACAATAATATATATATATGTATATAAATATTTATAATTATTTATTTTATATATTTTTATATATATATATATAAATAAATATAATATAGAATTTTTTTATTTATATTTTCTTTTCATAAAATAAAATAATAAAATAGATAAATAATTATAATTATTTTATTTAATTGATTTTTTATTTATTTTTTCGTAAAAATTTTTATATGAAATTATATATTTTTTTAAATAAAATTGTTTTTTTATTATATCTTTGTTTTTAATCTTTGTCAATTTTGTTTATTATAAATTTAAGAAATAAAATATTTTAAATTATATTTAATTTTTTTATTTATAATACAATAAAATATATTAAGTATTAATAATTGATACGATTTAAAACATTCAATAAAATTATAACAATATCAAAATTATAAAACTTATGAAAAAAATCAATATTATAAATTTAGTTTTAAAAACCTTTTTTAATTTATTTTTCTTTATAATAACAAAAACATGAATTACAATTCTTATTTAATTTTAAATTAATTCATTTTTATTAATATAAAAATAAAGATTTTATTTAATTAACCAAAAAAATTTATAAATATAGAAAATAAACAATAAAATAAGATCTAAGTTATAATTAAATTAGATATTAAAAATTATAAATAATAATAAAAAAATATAAAATTTAAAAAATTATAAGAAGAAGAAAAAATAAAATAAATGTAATTAATATCAGGTAGCTATTATCCAGATTAACTTTCTTTATAATAAAAAATTATTATAAATGTTATTGTTTATTTTCCAATTTTAATAAACACTTTTTCATTTTTTATAATTTTTATTAATTCTTTAAAAAATGTTAAAAATACGAAAATCTATATAATATTATAAATAATATAAATTATCATACTTTTTATTAACTTTTTATTATTATTACAATAAATTGTATTATAAAATAGTATGATACTGATAGAGTTCATATATTCGATACTATAAAGTAATTTAAAAAAAATAAACCAATATTAAAATATATTAATTTTATTTTAAAAAGTGTTTGTATTCCTTCTATATATAATATCTACAATAAAATGTGTATAAGTATAAAAGAAATAAACTTATTTAATATTTTAATCTAGTTATATATTGATATTTTGTTAATCCTTACTATTAGATTTTTTATTTTTAGGAAAATATACAATGAATAAATAAAAAATAGGAAAATATATATTATTTGTTAATAATTTTATAAATATAATATTACCTTTAGTAAATTTCTTTAAGACTATAAAAGAAGAAAAAAAATAAACTAATAATTCAAATTCAACAGAAATATATGAAAATTTACTCAAAAATAATTAAATTACAAATAAAATAAGAAAAGAACAAGACGTCTAAAAAATATAATAATAATCTGATAATATTTAAGAATTTATATCTGAATTTTAAAATTCAGAAGAAAGGAAAAACTAAATTAATATTAATAATTCTATTATAGTAAGTAATTAAGAAGAATATATTTATTCGGATATTAAAGTTGATGGATATAAAATTCAAAGTAATATTCTTTTGTATGTAATATTGTATAATAGATAAGGTGAGAAGTTTAGTACTGCAAGAACACATGAAGAATTTAAATATTTATATAAATAATTAAAAAAATAGAATTATTTACTCCCTCGACTTCTTGAAGGATTGAAAGGAAATTTCAAAAAACAATAACTTAAAGATAAAATTTAAAATTTTAATCAGTTTTTATTATAAATTGAATGTAAATAAATATTTAATGAAGAAGTAGAAAAATTTCTTAGAAATAATAAAGAATTTACTTGTTTTAATTCTAAAATAAATTAGAAATAAAAAAACTAAAACAAATAAAATAATCAATAAACTCTACATATTATATAAGAAAAGTTAAGTGAAGAATAAAAAGAAATAAATTCTGATTTATAAAGTGAAACTGATGTTTATTAAAGAAAAAATCAAATTAATATTGTTAAAGAATATATAAAAGAAAGAGTCACAGTATTTTTTTATTTTTTTTAAAAAAATTAATTTAATAATATTTTTTATTTCTTTTTTTTAAAAAAAAATATTATCTTAGTTTTATTGTATTTAAATAAAATTTAAAAATGAAAATATTAAAATTAAAGATTTAAGATTTAGTGATATTAAAA